CTGAGCACAAAGTGCCACGCCCCCGCGAGCATTGAATGCGTTTGCTGTTGATTAAATTAACAGATTTGATAGACTCTTTAGGGTGCAGGGGCATGTCAATATGCTGTGGGAATGGAATTGAGCTGATTGCGTAGGAAGTCGCAGTTGGTAATTGGCAGTTTCATATTTCGGCGCAGGCGCAGCTGAAGTACAACCCCCCCCCCCCCCCCCCCCACCCTCCTCTTTCCTCTCCCTCAAATGTCACGCTTACGAGTCTGAAGTTTGCCGCCAAAACGTAGTTGTTGTTGTTGCCGGGCCAGTCAGTCCGTCAGTCCGTCAGTCAGTCAGTCGAGAGCAAATTAATTCATTTTCAACACCTATTTTGACAGTTCATAAAATACATTTGTCATAAAATCGGTCACCGACTACTGACCAGCCCAAAACCAAACAACAACGACGACGAGTGTCGTTGTCTGTTAACTGTTGACTGCTGACTGGTGACTGGTGACTGCTGACTGGTCAGGGCAGGTCCAGTGGCTGCCTCTGTGTTGGTTCAGTGGCAAGTTGCAAGATTTATCGCGTCTCATTGAAATGCAGCGAACAAAAACAAAGGCCCTGAGCCTCGGCCCTGGCTCTGGCTCTGGCTCTGGCTATGGTCCTGCTGCTAGAGCTGCCATGTCAAATTTGTCCCTGCGTTTTGTTGTTTTCTATGCCAGCCCTCAGTTTTGAGTCCAAGTGCAGCTCTGCCGCGGCCCCAAAATGCCCCAAAGCGAGTTGCAAAGCTTGCAAAAATCTTAACAAAGTTATTTTAGCAAACGGTACGACAAAAAATGTCATGTCCTTAAACATGCAGCCCCAGCCCCTGTTGCGAGCCCTGCCTAAAGACCAACCCAGCTCCGGCTGCTGCTGCTCATCCAGAAGCTGAGCACTGCGCAGTGCAATCGATATGCGTGCAGATGCTCCACTTTGATCAGGTCATCAGCGACACATCGTTCATCATTCCATGCGAACGTTGCCCAGGAATGCTGTGCCAGACCGGGCCAACAGCGGGCCAGCAGCGGGGCACGCATGCGGCATGACCAGTAGCCGGCCAAAGACAATGGCAAAGCCATGAAAGGAACGCTTTTTAAGTTTTACGCCAGCCAAAACAGCCCCAAAGACCCAAAGTCTGACTCGACGCAAAGCGACGCGACGATCGACTTGACCAGCGGACAGCGGACGGGGAAAGGGGGCAGGGGGGCGATGGACAGTGGACAGTGGCCAGGGCCGTTGCAGCAGCGACTTTGACGGATGAATTTCACAAATAACTTCAACTGCAGCGCTGTTTGTTTTTATTTTTATATTTTATGCACTGGCACAGGGTATATTCGGTTAGGCATGCCGTTTGTGACAGCGCCAAGCAGATATTTGAAAATATTTTATTTTATGCTGCAAGCGAGCTATTAATATTTGATATTTTTATAAATTTAAAATTTATATTTATTATTGAGCTGCAGGCGAACTTCTATTATTTTATTTAAATATTTATTTTGAATTTATATTTACTTTAGAGCACATTTTAAGCTAGGTTGCAGCCTAATTTCTATTAATTTATTTATATATTATTATTATTATATTTATATATAAAATTTTATTAAATTATTTTGAAGTTTTTTCAAAGTTCTTTTTTCCCCAACTGAATAACTTTATGTATTATTATTATATTATATTATTTTATATTTTTCAATTTTAATTTAATATTTATTATTGAGCTAGCTTACTTAAGGTTTTCAATTATCTTTATATTTTTATTGAGCAAGTGTATTTAGAGTTTCGGTGCATTGCATTTCGTAGATTCCTGTAGTTGTTATTTTTGTTGTTTTTTATTTACTTATTTTAGTTTTTCTTTTATTTGCTGCGTTATTTATTGTACGAGTATTTCGCCTGCTCGACACACCAATACCAATTTGGTATTGGGCCTGTGCCTGGGCCTGGGCCTGGGCATGGAACTGGACGAAGCCTTGTTCAGTTTTGGAACGGATCGTCAGGCGGCGACATCGACATCGACGACGGCGACGATGCGTTGTCCCCGTTGTGTCTAAGTTTGGTATGCGTCATTTTTACGAGGAAATTCTTTAGCACAAAACTTTTGCGACGTCCTGCGAAACTGCAGCAGTAACTGCAACTGCAACTGCAACGGCAACTGCAACTGCAGCGAACGTCACTTCTTGGCTAATTTATGTAAACACGCTAAGTACAGCAAGTTATTTGAGCACTCAACTCCAGCTTTAGCGCAGTAGCTGCAGCTTGGCCAAATGTATCTGTCAGATACCTGTATCTATATCCTGTCAATTGCCAAGCTGTCTGAGTAAGCCGTCAGCTAAGACAAATGCTGCATTGTCTTGCGGCTCAAATGGCATCAATTAAAACTCAGGATTAACTACAGCCAAGTGCTTGGCCTTAAGAAATACATATATATATATATATATATAAATAAAATCAGAAGCTGTGCTCCTTTGTGGCTGAGGCAGGAATTTGCACATTCCTCGGCATGCCCATTCCATTGAGCTGAACATTTTAAATTGAAATCGCAAAAACGTTCAAATGCAAAAATCCCTTTACGACATTTACTGACCGGCGGACTGCCTGGGACGGGTGCCCACAGCTTGAGTCGGCCTTGTTTGGCTCGGTCAGCCAAATTCTTTGATTTCGCCAACAAATCTGTCCACTGGGCTCGCTGCTGGCCCATTGTACTCCGGCCACAATGGTCACAAGGTGTTGATTTAATGAGCAAAAAACAAGACTCAAGTAGGCGACAGTTGAGGTCTGTCCGCAGTTGTGTGTGTTTTTTTTTAAGCCGACTTTGACTTGAAGCAAGAGACATGAACTTGAGTGAAGAGTGTGTGCGTGTGTGTGTGTGCGTGTGTGCGTGTGTGTGTGTGCGTGTGTGCGTACCTGTGTGTGTATTGCTTGTGGCAGGACTCAAAACTCAAATCTCTTGCTCTTTGATTGACGTTTTTTTTTTACTGCCAACGCTTAGTCTCACACATTAAAGCCCTCAAAACCGGCAGCTACTTAGCCCAAAATGTTGGCCCCAAATTTAATTAGCTGTACATAGACCTTAAAGGCATATTATGCTGGCAATTGGCGAAGTCTGGCGTCAGGCAATGGCCTCAATTTGCGGCCACTTGAAGGCTGTTAATGCGCAGCCTCTTCAGCTCGTTGTCTCTTGCTTTCCCTACCCCCCCCCCCCCCACTCCCCCCTCCCTCTCTTTCTCTCTATCACTCTCTCGCCCAGTCACTTGACTTGAGCACATAATGTAACCATTCAGCCTGGATAAAAGCCTGTAAGCCTCGAACGCGTCCTGTTGCATTCTTTATGATTAATGGAACAGATTTTATGCTTCCTTCCGTCGGCCCGCCGTGCTGCCGAGCAAATGCCACTTAACTTCTTTCTCTTCCTTTTTTTTTTTTTTTTTTGTTCAAGTGTAAAGTGTGCAAATGTAAATGCATTAATGTGCGACGCGTGCCAGCCACAGCCCCAAACCCTACACCCAACCCCTCCCCACGCCAGCCAATGCAGTCAAGTGTCTGCGCTTTTTGGCTTTGATTCAACAATAAATTTCATCTTCAAATACGTATATTTATATATATAATTGTTTGTTTTTTTTTTTTTTCGTTTTTATTTTGTTCATTTGTTTGTGTGTGTTTTTATTGTTTCGTTTGATTTGATTTGTTTAGATTTTAAAAATTACGACAATTACTACAACTTAAATGGGGTTTTCTTACGCTTGGTTTCTGGCTCTGTAGCTCCACATAACACACACACACACACAACTACATATATACATATACATATATATATATATATATATATGTATGTATGTATATGTGTGCGTATATGCATATGCGTGTTCGAGCTGGGCGTTGTTGTTGCTCTTGTTCATTGTTATTTTATTTAGAAAGTAGTTGCCATTTTCTAGATTAAAACTATTTAATTAATTAAATGCTAGCATATACATAACTATGTATGATCTGTTGTTGTTGTCTTTAATTTGTTGTTAATTTGTTGTTAATTAAATAGTTTACAATGCAAATGAATATTACACGTAACTAAATTCATGTGTCTCTGCTCGTTCTTGTTGTTGTTTTTGCTGCTCCTTTAAATCAAACTACAGTTAACCGCAAGCACTAATTACCGCTTAATTAATTAAATTACAAATTACAGCTACAGCAAGCTCTACATGAATATACATATACATATATATAAATATATATATATGTATATATATGTATTAATATATATATTTTGTTGCTGCTTTATATACTTATTGTTGGTTTGCCTTTAATTATATATTTATATTTAATTTACATTTTATGCAGTTTTTATTTTGTGTGTGTGTGTGTTTTTTTTAATTTAACATTTTGTTTTGCGCTTTTTATTTTAATATTAATTTAGCCTAAGTTATTTGTTCTTTTTTTTACACAAATTTACAATAAAAATTTTTTAAACGCTTTTTTTACACATTTTAATTTGTTGTTAGCTTTAATTTTTTTTTACGAACTTGACAGCGGCTTTTCAATTTTTATTTTCATTTGTTTTTTATATTTTTTTTTTTATTAATTATATTGCACATAACATGAAAAAAATATTTGTTCTGCTTTTGCTTTATTGTTGTTGTTGTTGTTTTCGAGTGCATTTGAGAGTTCATTATAAAAAATTATATGCAAAATATTCCGTTGAGATCTGATTTTTACTGATTCTTTTTTTTTTTGTGTTTGTTTTTGTTTTTAGCGGTTAAAAAAACTAAACAAAAACAAATTATACCTTTGCGTTTGCTGGGCTCTACAAAAAAGGGCTTAAGATCAACAGCTGATTTCTTTTTTAATTGTTTTTTTTGTGTTTTTTTTTTTGTTTGTTTTTTTTATTGTTCATATTTATACAATATGCAATTTGCTATAGTTTACATAAAAAAAGTATATATATATATATGTATATATATATATAGAAACAATGTGAAGGACACGTTTTATACTTGCATAAAATTATATTGAGGAATGTTTTTTTTTTTATTATTTTAATTTGTTGTTATAGCTTTAATTGTTATTCTTATTTCTTAGAGAGACTTACTTTAAAACGACTCATTCACATTTTAAAATTTAAATATACAAAATTATTTAATATTTTACAATGTTCTTATATACTCATCAATCAATGCTCAATCAATAATCAATTATTGGCTAAGATTTGTTTATGTATATATATTTTTGTTTTTGTTTTGTGTTTTTTTGTTTTGTTTTGTTTTGTTTTGGGTCACATTCACTGGCCCGTCGCAATCCCGTCGCCCTCGCCCACAAAAACCGCATCATTGTGTGTATGATGATGCTGATGCTGATGATGATGAAGATGGGGATGGGAATGGGCATTGTGGTGCAGATTCAGTTCGGCGCAGGGCCTTGCCTCGTAGCACTGCGCTGCCGCAGTCTGTGGCCAGGCAGCAGCGGCGGCGGCGGCGGCGGGGGTTGGCGGCGGGTGCAGCTGATTCGGGTGCTGTTAAACCGCCGGCCACACGCTGCAAGGAAAATGAAGAAGCACAAGAAGAAAGCAAAGAAAATTTTTTGGTCATTTAGCAGGCGGCGACAATATTTTGGCTGTAGTTGGTTTCGGCCTTGGGCTGCGTACTCACGTTAGTAATGAAGGATTCGTCTCGGGCTGATACCAATACTGCGGCACATAACCGCCCATTTGAGGTGGCGGATTGTGGTGATGCGTTTGCGGATGCGGCGCCGCTGGATGAGGTGGCTGCGGTGTCATTTGCGGCGGTGGCTTATGATCGATCCAATGCGGTTTCTGGTCCCATGGCGCTTGCGTTGGCGGACTAAGACCCGTTGGTGGGAACTCTGCGAGTTAGATAAGACCGATAATGGAAAAATTATAGGCGAAGCGTCTTAACAGTGGCAATTACTAAGTTCTAGTTGCTTAGCAGAAATCGATTTCCACTAATATTTCACCCTTGCAAGTGGCAAAATAAAACAAGCTGTGCTCTGTGTTCGTCTGTCTGTCAGTTTGACAGTCAGTCAATTAGTTAGTCGGTCAATCAGTCAGTCATTTAGGTTATACATATAGATCTAGATGTAAGCACTTACCGGGTGATAACTCAGACACAGGCGTACTTGATGGCGTTGGACTATGTCCGGGAGGTAGATAATGTGAGGGTGAGCCGCTATTTGAGCCACCGCCGTTATTACCGCCTGTTCGAAGACCAAAAGAGAAGGGATATGTGTGCTCTATGAGTACTATTATCGTATATATATATATAAATAAAGCCTTGTGTTGTGCTGTGCACTTACCGCTGTGCATTTGATTAGGACTATGCTGACCAGGATTGGGTCCACCGCCGCCCAAAGGCATGCCGCTGTTGGTGCCCGGACCCTGAGCGGCCTTCATCATCTTTTTGTACTTGGAGCGACGATTCTGGAACCAGATTTTCACCTGCAAAACGCAAAGGACAAGCCATAAATAAACGAAAAACATGCATATACATATATGTATATATATATACATATGTATTTGCATACAATCTATTTTGATGTACAGATATTCTAAGCACTTGTGACGCAATTTCTAGGCCGTCAACAAGTCAGCATGAGTTTCAGTTTGTGTTGTGAATTACCGTAAATAGAAATTAAGTTGTCTGTTTGGCTATAAAAAGCGCAGACCCGGCTTTAATTAAGTAATAGCCCAGCATCGCAGCGATTAACATTCAAAAGAGAATCGATTGTAAATCGATTGATCTATTGACTAAGTTAGTTACAGTTTTATTTATTTTTGTACTTTTTTTATTTTTGTTGTTGCGGCGACGGCTTTTCAAACAGCTTTTCATATGAAATTAAAAGTGAACGCTTGTGAAAAGCAGCTGGCAGCTAAAATGCATCCAACAGCAGGAACAGAAAACAGAAACACATTTTGGCAGCGTGTGACACCAGCAGAAAAATCTTGTCAGCAGCTAAGAGTCTGAGTGTGAGTGTGAGTGCGAGTGTGAGTGTGATTATGAGTCTTGAGTATATTCATGAGTTTAATTTCGTCATCAGAGACGATTAAAAAAAAATCGCACACACACACACACACACACACACACTTGAAGCGACAGCAAATGAGCCAAAAATGTATCTCACAGTTACTTTCAATTTTCATTTTCGAATCGCAGCGAGTCGAGACGTGTATCTCTTGTTGTTGCTGTTGCTGTTGTTGTGTAGAACTAATTGTGCGCTGAGCTGTGCGCACTTCACTTTTGAAAGCCAACGGCAGCATTTGCCGCAGCAGCTCAATCTCTGGCTCCGGCTCTGACTGAAGTGTATGTATAAATATAGATACAAAACGGCAGCGCGTATCTGTATCTAATGCTATTTATGCGCGCTTTTAACTGTATCTACAGTTTGCAATCTTTCACATAGACCTGACGTACATTGTAGCTGTATATCTATATATTTTCATATATGTATGTGTATATGGCCGTATTCCAATACATATATTTATCTATAGCCGACTTGTTCAAGGTCGTTCTTCGCGGTTGGCTGAATTTTTGTAGCGTAGCATGCGCTCTTTTCTCTTTGTTTAACTCTTTATATACCCTGTAAACAGGAACAGGGCATGCTTAACGTTTGTGTTAGTATGTAAAGAACAGCAGAAATAACAGCAACAGCAGCAAAGAATCTTCAGACTTGGTATCTGCCAGTTACACATTCTCTACATTTCTATTTAAGCTAAGCTTGCCAGAAGTTTTTGGACATAGGGTATCTGTCAGTCTGCTACTTTTTGAGATGCTCAACTTTTTACAGCCGTTTTGCTGCCCATTTTGATGTGGCTTTTGCCAGCGAATTTCACTGGCTGCGTTTTATGTCGCCCCATAAAAAGACTTTTGGCAATGTTTGGAGCTTGACTCTGGGCCTGCGCCTGCGACTGGGCTTGATTTTTATGTGCATTCCGCCGGCAGTTGATTCAATTAAGCGATAACTGCCGGTATTGACTATGGCCAGACATGTGCGCTAATCGCTCGGATCGCCGGATTGCCGGATCGACGGATCACCAGATTGCCGGTTCGTCGGATTGTTGGATTGTCGCCGCGCGCTGTCGGATCGTTGACATTGACGACGTTGGCACTGGGCGGCAACGGTAGCCAAAAAAATTTGTGTCTGTTCATTGTTGATTTTCATTTTTATTTTCATGTCGATCGAATGCGCAATCAAGCGGCACACGATATCGAATTGGGAGCGGGGGCAAGTGAAGCGCTTCAATTGAGCTGCTCACGAGCATCGTTTAGCTAATTCTTGCCTTGATCTACGAATATATAGCTCTCTATATACATTAGATGCTTAAGACACCATTTATAGCAGCTTTTAATATTTAATATTATTTTCTTAGTACTTGTTTTGTTTTTGTTGTTGCCGCCACAGTTTTTGTCAGCGGTTACGCAAGAGAAACCAAGCGCAAAATATGAGCTCGATGATAAAATATTGTCGAAAAGCTTTTCCAAAATATACCAAATACATTTTGAAATAACAACAAATAAAAGCATAGACAGAAAGCGAGAGAGCGCCACATATTAATAAAATGAATAATTTTCATAATATATAAAATGATAAACTTTCAAATTGACTTGTCCAACGGCTGCTCAAGTGTCGGATTTGCATTTGAAATATGTTTTGACAGCTTGAGAAAAAGTGTTTTAACACAAATTATATAACACAAACTAAAATCGGCAATTGCCCGGAAAATATGATCGCACCCAAATATTTGGCATATTTCCTGAAGAACACTTTACCAAAACTCTAGAGAGTTGTGCCCCACTCGAATATGTATGCAAAAAACAAAAAATAAGAGTAGAAACCACGCACGAGAGTAAAAGTGTAGTCGGACAGACTGTCTGACAGGCCCGGACAGCTAGACGGACGGACAGTCTGTCAAATGTCAATCAGCCTTATGTCATGGCAATGAGGTACTCGTCGTCCACATCTGCAGCTCCATTGGCTTCTGTGGCATCAATTTGTACCACTTTCATATGGACAAATATGGCAAACAACGGCGAAAAGAAGAAGAAGAAGCAGAAGAAGAAGAAAAAACTGAAACGAGAAATTAGCATGTCACTGTGTCACTTGAAGCAGCAGCCACAGCAACCGACAGATCTGTCTTCTTAGCCAGACTTTTGCTTATACCCTTCAGCCAAAGAGGGTATATTAAGTATTATATGGTCAAGAACAGCGAGACACATTGAAGTGACACTTTTTTAAAGGAAATATTCTTTATTGCTGGAAACACAACATGTTTATTCATTTATGTGTCTAAATGTTCTACAGCTTATTTATTCAAGCTAGAGACAGCTGATAAAATATTCTATACATATATAATGTATATATTAAAAACATCCGCCAGATAAGTGATATATAATTAAGATCTGCCCACTAAATCATTTAGAACATAATTGTTGCTCGCTCAGCGAATTTCCCATACGCAAGGGTATTCAGCTCTTCGGCTAATTCAACGAAAGTCTGCGTTGGCTCTGGCTGTTAAGTCTTTGGCATTATCCTTTTAACCCACTTTGTAGCGTGCTCATAGTCATATGGCAACACTTCTACTGTTGCTGGTGCTGCTTCTTCTTCTGCTACATCTTGTTGGTTGATCACTTCCGCAATATGTCACTTGGCCATATAATTTATGCGTGGCAGAACCACAATTGATGGCCAGTCGACAGCCAACAGATGCGCCACAGCGGCCAAATGTCCAGGCTTTCTAATAGTCAAGCTGTAACAGTTGTTGTTGCAATTGTTGTTGTTGTTGTTGTTGCAGTTGTTGCTGCTGTTGCATATCAGAGCTTTGCGCACCTGTGTGTGCGCGCAGCTGAAACTGGTTTCTGTTGGACTTAGCCAAAGTGCGTTTTTTTTTTTTATTTTTGGTCTTAATTCAAATCGCCTGGCGGCTGGGCATTTAATTCATTTGACAGTTGAGCATTTAAAACGTGGGAAAAGATAACGCAATTGATTATTGAACAAACCAAACATATTCGCCTGGCCGTGGCGGTGTGTGTGCTTTTTGCATGATTTGTGTGGGAGCAACAAAAAAAAAAACACTGCAAAATAAGCCAAAAAAGAAACCGTTTTCAGTTTCTTTAGAAACTGACAACAGTCCCCATCACTTTTGCCTTTTCTATGATAAATTATGGCAATGCCACGCCCCGGCTAAGGGCCCAGACCGCGCTCGCTGGCCATAAATAATGCAGCTCCAAGGAAGTTACCACTTTATTAGCTGCTGCTGCTGCTGCTGCTGCTGCTGCTCCGTTGTCTAAAAGTAAATAGACGAGACAGCAGCGCTGCGCCCGTCTAATGACAACAACAACGCCCCCCAAAAATATATAACAAAAGCAATTGCGACGGTTGCTGTTGTTGTTGTTGTTGCATTTTCCAGCTGCAAATGTTGTCTGCAAAATATGCAATTTTGTTTCTTCTCGAGCGTTGCACTTGGCTCTTGCTGTTGCTGTTCACAAATTTATGGCCAGCAGCAACAGCAGCGGCAGCAACAATCTGGGCTGCCTGGTGTGTTTTTCCCGCATTGTTCTCAGCTTGTTGCTTGTTATGTTGGCAACAATAAGTTGGCTTTTTGTTGCTGTGGCTCTTGGCTTTTCATTCATAAATTCCATGCAACAAGATTTTAACATATTTGCAGCACATTTTTGGTGCGCGAATTTGCAAAAGCGGCCAACATTAAAACCATTTTACTTGCCGGCCCGCTGCTGGCGGCTCTTTGAATTAGCTCTTGCCGCATTTTGCCAGCCCGCCTGCTGTTACATTTTGTAAACATTTTGTTTAGCCTGATTAATGGCACATTCAAATGCGGCCCCTGCGAAGCAGCCAAATTGACAGCAGCAGAAGCAACAGCAGCAGCAGCAGCAATTGCCACGGCAGCAGCTGCTGATCCATTGATAATTTCCTGAGCTTCAGATTGCGCATACGCACCGTGTTCACTTTCATTTTGGCATCATTTGAATTTTGCGTCGCTCACTCGCTGATCTCGGCTTTTGTTTTCCTTTTCAGCTTTTTGTTTTTATGACAAGCTAACGGCCATAAACTTTCCTTCCAACAACACAAGCACGCGCCAGCTGCGCTCAACACTGGTAGCCAGGTAGCCAGGTAGTCAGCCACTAAGACAGTTAGTCAGTTAGTCAGTGGGTATTTGATGGCGACGTGCTTAGGCAGCGACGTCATCCTCCATCGCCGGTCGCCAGTCGGCGGCCAACGGGCAATCTATTTTAATCGCGCTGCAATCGCCAGCGCAGCGGCAATTTTTAATTTATGCGCAAAAGAAGCAAAAATAAAAAAGCTAAAATCATAAAAATTTAAATGTGCGCAACACGGAGAGAGACAGAGAGAGAGAGAGAGCGTGAGATGGAGTGAGGGGGAGTGAGCGAGAGGCAGCGCGAAATGAAATAAAATTTTGATTTA